TTCTTGAAGGAGGTAGATTTAGGAGCTTTAGAGAAATACCCTCTACATAAATAGTGAAGTCACTCACCCAATAAATATTTAGTGGACAACTACGATGGGCCAGGCACTGCTATAGACACTAGGGATACAGCAGTGAATAAAACAGAGAAAAATCCCAGCCCTTATGAAGCTGACATTCTAGAGGAGGGAGACAGTTAATAAACAAAAGAGAAAATTATGGTTTGTCAGAAGGTGGTAAGCGCTATGGAAATAAAGTTATAAAGAGAGACAACGCTCCACAGTGAATCGCTTCTATGTTTCCACACGATTTCATAGCTGTGCGTTTTCACACACCTTCTCAGCTTGGTCCAGAGAACCACCTCACAGCTGGAAGACTATTTCCCTGTTTTACAGGTGAGACTGGCTTCCCTCAAACTAGATAGTAATAGGCTGAGCTCAGGATTGGACCAAGCAGCCAGGACATGCTTCACTCTCTTATGCCGCTTTGACGGGACGCGTGGGAGGTACGCCGTGGCCTGGTGCCCGAGAGGAAGTGTGTGCAGAGGTGCTGGAGTACGAAAGAGCAGAGGAGGGTTGCAGCCTGGCCCGCTGGCCCGAGCAGGGCCACCAGATGCAAAGAGGGAAAGGGTGGGCCAAGAGGGGCACGGAGGCAGGGGCCTGCCGTGGGAATAAGGCTGGGGTCAAGAGGGACAGCAGGGAGGCACTGAGCCCGGCAAGGGAAGAAAGAGGTGGTGGCCCCGGCCTCGACACCAGGTAAGCCAGAGGGAGTGGGCTCAGAAGCATGAAGCCAGGAGGAATTCCGGAGGCATCCAATAATGAGCCGGGTGGGGATGTTTATGGAGTACTTGCTATTATGAGGCACTGAGCATCCGCGCTACCTTGTTGAACCACCACAATAGCTCTATAAGGGCTATCATTAGCCTATTTTACAGATGAGGAAACTGAGGCCCTGGAAGGTAAACTTATTCACTTAAGGCAGGGTCTCTGAACCGTGGCACTGTTGGCATTTGGGGCCAGTTATTTCTCTGTCTTGGGTGGGGTTCTGTGCCCTGTGGGGTGTCTGGCCTCTACCCACTAAATGCCAGGGGCATCTCCACTGCCAGCTGTGACAAGCAAAAATGTCTTTGACATTGCCAAATGTTCCCCGTGAGGCAAAATCTCCCCCACTTGAGAACTACTTGTCTAAGGTCATGTGGTTAGTAGCACAACTGGAATTTTAACACAGGTTAAAATGTGAAAAGCTAGGGAGTGGCGAAGGGTGGGGGGAATGATTTGGAGATTCAAGGCCATGGTCTGGGAATCCTTTAGTGAGTTCTTCATGGAAGGCCGGGGTCCTGCAACCTTGGCTCACAGGGGCTGGTACTCAACCCCCGTTGAAGTGCTGAATCAATCGTGCACAGGTGATCAGTGTAACCTTGAGACTGGAAGGACTCCAGGCGCTGGACTAGGGGCTGTGTGGAGGGGGTCCCATTTA